AACTGTTCATTACACTCAGCGTCTCTAACTATCAGGTACGATCATCTCGAGGTCTCCAGCCAGAGAGCCTAACAGGACCAATGTGACCCAGTACCCTAGTTAGGAATTTCATAAATTCGTGCCAGGTCTTCAGTTGACCACCCTTGACTTTTTTCCACCCACTACCTGCCTCGGCGAACATCGCTCGCCGTGGCAACCCATTTGATGATATGCCTGACAGATGCCCCAACAAAGGTAGTCTATGGAGATCGACCATTTCCTCCAGTGGGCGACCACGGATACCCAAAACTCTGCCCCTAACCTCAGCATTGCTCATCCGGATACCCCACAAGATTCTTGCAATGCTACGTAGACAGCGGTGTTCAAACACCGACAGTCTATCTTTGTCCTGTTTTCTTGATGGCCAAGTTTCTGCGTTGTATAGCAGAATTGGTCGAACTGCCGCAGCAAACACTCGACCCTTCAGAGACAACCAGATGTCGCGACGGTGCCACAGATGTCTCAAGTTGGCAAATGCTAACCGAGCCTTCTGTATGCGTTCCGACACTTCATCCGTAATGCGTCCATTGGATGAGATGTGGCTTCCCGGATTATAAGACTTATCCACCTATTGGGTAGTTTCGAATAAGTGACCGGACAAATGGAAAATAAACGTCGGAGCATAACAAATCTCACATTTGAATGCCGCTATTTTTCATAATAATCGAAACGCTGCTTGGCATTCCATCTACTCACCACACAGCTTGTGTTCTCCAATGAAGATCTCAGTGACCTGAACTTCCTTATTTTCAGATCTCAGTGTTTTCTTTCGTATCGCAATGCTAGTTGGAAATATCACTGCCCTTTTTCTAATCACGTGCTCTTAGATCTGCAACTGTTACGCTCTTAATCGGCGCGCTCCGTGTCCCGTCCAATTGTTTGTCACCGGTCTGGGTTCCGCAGAGGCAGTTCACTCAAAGAACGAGGCTTCTCGGACTATTCCACCCTGTCCTCCCAGTACGCGCCTGATTGACCGGCTGCGGATAGCGGGATGTGAAAAATGGGATATTAATCTGTGTGACGTAAG